AGGAATTCAAAAGAGACTTGTGTTTAGATAAACATTCAAATTCTCTCCTCTTTCACTGTAATGACGTGGGACATAACTTTGATTTCACCAATGCCAGCCTTATCAAAAAAGAACATTATAGTTTAAAGAGAAAATATTATGAAAATATATTTATAGCAATACTACCATCTGTTAGCATGTTTCAAAAAATACATAAAATCAATGCAGATATATACAAAATATGCAGTGTACAAAACTTTCAAAGTATGTTCAGCATTAAAAAGCAACCATAAGAATCCAAGCATTAACTGGGAAATAATTGTGAAAGCTAAGCCATACAATGGCAAGAGACAGATGTAACTTGTGTTCATTGGAGAAGCTTTTTATATTAAAACACTTAAATAAGCCTAACTTACTGGACACAAGGTCTGAATTAATGTCTACATGCATCCAAAAATCCAAGCACTTACTCAAAAACATTGACCCTAATTAAAAGTGATTGCAAAATGAATTTTACAAATATTAATATGATATGCAACAACTTTAATAGAATGTACATTATTTTATCTTGTGGGGACCCTTTCAGTCAACACTTTCTCAAAAGATGAACGTTGATGAGAAGCAGGAAACAATTGAAGATACATTAATAAATAGCGAATGAGAACATGATTAAAATAGTATCTTTAATTATTTCCTGCTTTTGACCAATGTTCACTTTTGAGAAAATGTTGGCCGAAAGGATCCCCTCAAGGTAAAATAATGACGTCTATTCTACTGAAATCTATTTTCTTCTTCTTGGGGTACAAGTCTTTGTTTGTTTTATATATATATATATATATATATATATATATATATATATAGTGTTATGAATTTAATCTTTTGATAAAAATCAAACGAATTCACTTAAAAGAAAAAAGTGGGATTTTCTACTCAGTTGGGGACCAATACACACAATGTATCGAAAACTAACAGTTATATTAAATTAAATATAACTTTTTGGCAGACAGTAATTGACAGGTTTAATTCCATTTTCACCTTTGATTTCTTGAATGCTTTTACACAAATTGACAATTACCAAAGCCTGTTACACGCACGACTGACGTCCGGCGGCACCTACCAAGCGGTTGGGATGGGCCGGCACATGCTCAGACTGTGATTCCGCCCGTATAAAGTTATTTTTAATTTAATATAATAAAGATAGTGGTAGAAGATGGAAATGACAAACGGAGAACAGGAGAAAAAAAAAGAAATTATAAAGAAATTGTCATGAGAAAAATGTGCAATTATTACTTATCTATTGACTCATATTATCAACAATTTCATTAATCATTATGTCTCTTTTATTTTCTTTTACAAATAGTTATGTGTGGATATATCTTGTCTTGTCAGGGTTGTGAGGTTTCTCTTCAGATGTAGTAGTATTTCGGTCATTCAACATGGTTTATTGGTTTGGTTTTCATCCTAAAAGCACTTTGCTTTTATTAATGGAAGTTATAGGCTCTCCTGGCACTGGAGTTCCTGATTATCCCAGAAAATTTCAGTTTTCTGTCTCTGGAAGATTGGGAGCCAGCCCAAGGAGAAAGAAATAAACAATTTCACATCCTCTTGATGCTGCAGTTATGATCTTTTTGATCTGTTAGTGTAGGGATGTGCATAATCATTGATCGCTACATATGAAATTAACAATTCACCCGTTGACCAAATTCAAAAGGTGGTCAAGGCCGTATTTTTAAGAAAGAATTTAAAAAATGAAAGAAAAATTTAATAATTTTAGGATGGGGATTTATATTTAATATCAATAAAGAGGTTACACCTCCCCACCTAAAAGAGAGAAAATAAAAAATTTTCTTGAGACACAGGTTATTTAATATTTTAATTTTACACAGTGGTCATTTTTCAAGGTTTTATTTTCTGAATCTTTGATAGATTTGGATTCATGGATCACTCATACAGGATTATCTGCCATTCAAAGGAAATATAGTTTAATCATATCAATATGGAAAAGCTGGGTAGATTTCCTACAATCAGAAGTATTCAGAACATAGTTAAGGTCACTTATCTTTCTAATAAGGACCATGGTACCTAGCTTTGAGAAGATAGTTAGACATAGGTAGCAACACAAGCACTTGGTCACCTACCTGAAACTTTCACTCAACAGCTTCCCTATCATACCATTTTTTCCTTTTATTTTTTATTTATTTATTTTTTTTTTGGTTGACTGAAGATTTTGACAAGCTATTTCGTTTGCTTCAGTTAGGCATGTTCGGAAATGAGATACGTAATCTAACAAATTTACATTTTTCTGGTTTTCTTGTAATCGAGTTTCTTTCAAGTTCCAAAGGACCATGAACAGAATGTCCAAACACCAACTCAGAAGGACTAAACCTGAGCAATTCCTGGACAGATTTGTGGGTGGAAAATAATAGAAAAGGGAATACCTTCATCCCATTCTTTGCAAGGATTTAAACAATAGGTTTCAATCATGTTTTTTAATGTGGAGTGAAACCGCTCCAAAGCACCTTGGGATTTAGGATGGTAAGTGCTAGATTTAATAGAAATGATGTCTCATTGATTCATTACTTGTTGAAATAATTTTGAAGTAAAATTCAATCCTTGATCCAATTATACAACATTTGACAGTTTGAGTGAATAATGTAACGAGACCTTTTATAATCTTTTGAACTGAAAAGTTCTGTAGATGAATGGCTTCAGGAAAACTGGTTGAAGCACACTATGGTCAACATATATTAGTTTTCCAAATTGGTTTTGGGTAGAAGACCAATACAATCAATAATCACTTGGCTGAAGGGTTCTTTAAATGCAGGAATTGGATGTTCCAGAGCAACAGGGATTTTTTGATTGCGTTTCCCCACTATCTGACATATTTGACACATTTGGCAATATTCAGACACATATCTCTGAATGCCAGGCTAATAAAAATGCCTTAATATTTTATTCCAAGTTTTATTCATTCCTAAGTGACCTCCAAGAGGAATTTTGTGATCATTTCTCACTATTTCTGTTTGATAAATTTTAGTAACAACCACCCGATGGACTGCTGCCCAATCTTTGGTATCTGGAATATGAGAAGGCTTCCACTTTCTGATGAATGTTATCTTTTATAAAATATCCTGTCTTAATTTTCTTCAAATTTTCCACCAACACCACATTATCAAAAAGAAGCTTATCATCGTTAAGGAGTTTGAAGGACAGTAATGAACAAACTTATGTAGAATTTTCTGGTCAAAAAGAAACTTATTTTGATAGATGGAGTTTGTCTAAGGAAGTTGGGTTTGAGTACAACAAACTTAGACAAATGATCCTAATTGAAGAATTCAAGTAATGCATTCCACATTTTGTGAAATCCTATTTAGATAAGAAACTGGTTGATAATGTACATGAAATGGCTGTCTTAGCTGATGAGTATGTTTTCACACATAAATGCAGTAAGCATAAGCATGGTAATTCATTTAAATCAGGAGGTTGTCTAGGATGTAAATTTGGGTTTAGTTCAAACCCAAGTTCTAAGTCAAATCAAGCATATAACCCTGACCCTTTTCCCAATTCTTATAAAAAAAAGAGCAAAAGTTCATGTTCTCAAAATAAGTATCTTAAATCTTCAGAAACTCTACAAGTTAGTAGATGGAATCGAAAACTCCCCATGTGTTAATACTGCAACAAAGCAGTATATATATATATATACACACACACACACACACAAAGGTGTAACTGCATAATTGCCCATCACACAAAATGTTTAAAATATATATATATATATATATATATATATATATATATATATATATATAAAAAAAATATATATATATATATAAAAAAAAATATAATTATATTATATATTATATATATATATATATATATATATATATATATATATATATATATATATATATATATATATATATTATATATATATATTATATATATATTATGATTGGTATGGACGAATATTTTCTATGAAAATTTCTATTACATCAGGCAAAATGTTATTTAATACTGTTTATTATAAACAGAGCATTTACTTAAATACTTGTATCTATAAAAAGAACGTTAAACATAAAATGTCTTTAATAAAATAAATTGTCGAACTTTGTCCATTTCTTAATATATATATATATATATATATATATATATATATATATATTATATATATATAAATTTTATTTTTTATTTTTTTAATATTAAAACTTTTCCCTTTTTTCTTTTTTTTTTTCCCTTTTCCTTGCATCTGGATAAATTGATCTCCATCTATTAACAAAACACTGGTTTGAAGAGATGGATGTACGTCCATGAAATAAATTATAACCAAATAGATTTTTCAGGATTCTGTAATCATTATCATCATTATATTGCTGTTCTTACATTGAGCTCTCTTATATATATATATATATATATATATATAAATGTAATTTTGTGGGGAGAAATTTGGTTGTGTTTTCTCAAATACAGACTTTGATAAAAAAATAAAAAATATTTTCATAATGCTAGTATTCATATATATGAATTACGAATATCTCAAAGTTTGCTCTTGTATAGGTACATTTTTTTTTTTTTTATAAAGTCATGTATCATATTCGTATCATTTTCTGGTCCAAGAAGTATCATACTAAATTTTGTTTTATCAAAATTTCAAATTGATCTCCTCCCCTTTCTCCAATTTAAAAGCAAATCAAATTAAAACATTTCCAGATATACATATTTTTCTTCATTTTTACACATGTTGTTATAAATCCTATGACCTGTTTAACACTTATTGTAACAGCTTGTGCATTGGTCATCATTCTGTTAGGTCATTGAATGAAATCAATACTGAACATTCACGTCTCACTTGCTTACTGCCAGCTGGCTGGATGCTATTGTTTTATCTGTTATAAAATTGGACATGTCCCGTAAAAATATGCCAATGTTAATATCATATGCCCATGAGCATTGCTGTTGCTATCAGTAAAAATCTTGCTACCTGGAAGAAAAAAAATTACTGTGTAAATTAATCCGATACTAATATGTATATTAAAGGACTTTTTAGACAGTTGTGCAGTTCATATTCCTCCAGGTTTGTGATTT